GTTAGGAAAGTGTTAATATGATTGTGTTTCTAAATAAAAATATATGAAATATGATCACCGCTAGATGTTCATAACAAGATACTGCAAGTCACCCCTCTTCGGGTATATTTAGTAGCAGCTATATGAAAACGGAAACATTACTTAATAATACACGTTTTAGCTATAGCAAATTGGCCGAAACCATGCAATATCTCAGGTTCTAAACGGTGCATGTAGAAAAAACATAGTACACACTACATTTTTTTGCAAATCGGCTTAATTAGTATACTTATTTTTGAATTTTATTCCATAACTATAGTCATTTATAAATATTTGCATTGCACTTATAAAATTATATAAAATAAATAAATAAGTAAACTTATGTCAATTGTCACTTTCATTTATTTAATATCATAAAAATGAGCCATTAATTGTACAGAAGATTTAGAAGTAACGATTAACACCAGCTCTGTTAAATTATAATCACGGGAAATTATTCCTATTTCATTATTTCGGCATAGACGACCAAAAGAATATGAGCAAGCTATTAAGCGACTGTCCTTACAACATTCACATAAAAAGAAAAACACAAAGGCTGTAGTTTACCTAGCGTATTGAGAAGGTTTTAATAACGAAATTGTTTTATCCAACGGTCACTTTAATCAAATTGTAATTAAATACATAAAACTGCCACAATTTATTTTTACACAGAAGAGATGTAAATTCCACAATGTGGTCGTGAATTGCAGAAAATTCTTACTAAAATGCTCGGTAGTAGCAATCTTTGATTTTTTGGGTGAAATTACAAGTTTTGTCGCAGAGTAAGATGGTAAAATATGGCATATGGATTCAATCTGAACAATTTATCGGAGCACACCTCGTAGTATATGCGATTGATGATGAGTAGAGATGTATCATGTCTCTTCGAATGGCTAGTTGCTAGTTTGAAGAGTCAAGATAGGCATCGACGGAGATCTGGTATCCGTATGGATGAGAGGACGGAAGAACAGGGAAGGTGCATGATCCTAAACATCTTCACACAATGAAGCGACTTTCACACTGTCTCAATGCGTGTTGGCGGACTTCACATGCCTTCGAAATTTTTTTTATTTCTCACATATGCAGATTTGTTTTCTTTTAACGCTGATTACATTGTAAATCAGCATTTAAAATTGTATAATTAACTGTTGATTAGACCTGGCGGGAATCAAAGCAGAGTGTACTGCGAAATTCACAATTTAGGGCGAGTGCCCCTGACTACAACGCACAAAAAAATTAAAAATGTCAAATAAATATTGTTTTGACATGCGTATGTGGTTGATATTTAAAACGTAGCAAATATTTTTTTTTGCAAAGGTAAAAAAGACAGATATTAATGTGTGGACTTAAAATTTAATTAGAATATGGCACCAAAGAATAAAGGATTTGATATTACATCAAAGAGAGCTTTATAACAAAATAAATTAATCAGCCACATGTCGCACATTTCAATGATCATTGCTTGTTTTGTTTGTTAAACTCAGTACGGTTTCACCAAAATACAAGCATTGAATGTCGTGTTAACCAAAATTCACAGTTCGTTTATCATGGGGCACAAACGCAGGATCTGGAAGCTTTCATTAAACTAAGCACCGCTCCGTTAGTACAGCATCGACATTTCTGAAAGCATCACGTGTGTAGAGATTTCTAAAACAGAAATATCGTAATATCTTAGTTTAACATCTGGAAGTTTGTGACGTTTGAAACAAAATTTAGTTAAAATAAATAAGTAATTATTTTTAAAATCTAAATGGTGTTAGTGCAATATGTTATGTCTTTAAGGTTTGTAGAGTAATATAGATTTCAATATAATATCTTTAGGGTTTTGATATTGAAAGTTTTATAGTTAAAGTATTATAATTATTTAAATTTATTCCATACAATAAATAATACAACTTGCGTCCAATTATTAGAAAATTCATAAAACGAAAGCCGTCATCCTGTTTGCTATTAATTTGTATAAGAGATCTCTCACAAGAAATTCTGAAAATAAAATAAGATGCAATTAAGAATAACAAACTGTTTATTATCTCTAATATCTGTTAATATATACACAATATATAACAAATGAAATATTGTTTCTTTTAGATGAATTTAATATTATTGCAAAACAGGAAATAATTCAAAATATAGCAAAGAAACATTTTACTGATGTAAAAACTCATCATTAAGCATATTAAATTGTGTTAAAGATAACTAATTATTATAATTATAAAAATATAATTATATGTGTTATATATCTAGTAATGCGGGTTTATTTATGTTATTTATCATAAAAAATATGCAAAAAAATGTATCACAACAGATACCAAATCTTAAATATTTAAATTTTCTAAATAAATAGCCATGAAATGTCTTTTTTTATTTATAAGTCAGTTTGACCACAATGCCACCTGACGGTAAGTGGTGATGAAGCTATAGGTTTGCAGCATGTTCCTGGTAACAACTCAAAGTAATAAAAAACTACGGTTTCCAACCCAGGCAGGTTGCATAGGGCAAATCGGTCTTTATATAGCAGTGGACTTTGATTTAAAGTGGGAGTGAAACTTGGATAGAGCCAGTCTGTAATAATTGAATAAAACATTTAAAAATACATATTTATTACAAGCTGAAAATGAATCATATGAATGAATATCTAAAATGAAATAATTTAAGAGATATAGATGCAGTTATCTATTTGTATGTAAATGTACACATGTAACTATTGTGTTATATAAAATGTATTATATTATGGGAATGTTTTTATAAATATGAAATGTTTTAAAAATAGTTCTGCATGAACGTAAAAATAAAATATATTTCAAATATTTATTACTGAGGCTCAAAACGATTTAACAAATTTAAAGTATATTTTAAAATAAAGTTAAATTGAATAGATTAAACTCAATGAATTGTTAAATTTAAGCTACTTTCAATAAAATTCTGAAGTATAGTTACCTAAAATTAGGCTAGAAATAAATTAACTGATAAGGGGATGATAGTTTCTTTATAAAAAAAAAATATTGACCACAAGCTGGTAAATTACGTCGATGTGAAAAGAATAACGATAGAAGATGCACTTACGTTTTTACTTATGGCTCTAAAGTGTGAAACCCTCTACAGACTACAGTACTTTCTTCATTTGACTATCAGTATGTATTTTTTACAATTTTAAATCGGTTTTGATGATTTTTATTGAATAGGTTATACTTCAGAGGCTTACTATAGAAATTTAGACAAAAAACCACACCACAGAAACATTTCCAAGGCCAGAAAAATATGAAGTTTTTAATGATACTGCTTAGAAGACATTCTACATAGTAGGTAGTTGACATTCTAAACCCATGCAAAAATGTCATAAACATCAAAATTAAAAAAAAAAGTCAAATCCAACTTTATATAAATAGAAGGAATGAAATTTATTATTTCATTCCTTTCAACATTCAAATAAAATTAATTAAATATAAAAAATTATTAAATAAATCACAAAAAATGTTTTTACCTATGTCCGTTATAGACTTTGAAACCATCCAACCGATGTGCCCCAAACCGGTTTAATTAGAAAGGTAATAAATGCGAAGATCGTTTCAGACCACAAAAGCAAAAAAAAATAATGATTAAACATTATATAAAAAAAATAATAAATAAACACAATTTCCTTTCAAAATGTATTTCTTTATTAGCTTAGTAACACAGGGTATCCGCTGGTTTTCACATAATAACTTCTCAAGTCGGGGCTATAACACTTCTATACACTTTGTCTTAGCATCTACTTCAGAAGCTGTTATGTGGAAATTATTTTATTCCACATTAGTTATTTTAAGTCATATTTTACTTGAAATACAAGAAATACAGAAACACTAATTGCATAGTTGCCATTTTTTTATTTAAGCTATGATTTTTATTCTACGTTTGATAATGAGAGCAAACATTGTACGTGGTAGAGCCATGCTGCACCTATATTAATAGTATAATTATAGCACGAATGGGTCGGCTCGACCGGGGAAGGACCACGCTCTCACAGAATACCAGCGTAAAATAGCAGCTTAATGCTGCTATGTTTCGTATGGTAGGTGTAGAGAACCGGAGACCCATTTTACTGGAAAAGAGGCATTCCATCTTAGTCCTCACGGGTGACAACGCATCTGCATTTTGATTCGCAAACGAAGATAGATGTAGATGTCTATGGGCCACAGCAACCACTTACCATCAGGTGGACTGCGTGCTCGTTTGTCACCCTTATACTATAACAAAAAAAAGAAACAAATTCATTCTCATAAACATAGATCTTGTGTTAATAGATGACGGTCTTAAATAAAATCATTTTATTATTTCAAAATCAGATACTACAATTTAACTCGATGGGACTGCAAATTTTATTATTATAAGGAATTCGGTACTTTTAACTAAACACAGAAAGAAGCAGAAATGAGATATTAGTTATACACATATTTATTTAAAAGTATGTCATTTTTATAGAGATTTAATTCTGATATAGGGGTTATCCACTTGTTCGTACAACGTTATTATTCCTAATATTAGCAGTTATAATAATATATTTTACATAAACGTTATTTGTATAGTTGTAAATTGCCGCAGTTGTTTGTTTCATGCACATGCGGGATCATGTTGGTTTCATAATCACAATCATTACTTTATCTTCTTTTGTTCAGAATGAATTTAGTGGCCATTAACCTAAATTTTATTTTATAATTAACTGAAACTTTCAAAAATAGAGTTTAGGGAAACCATAGCCACAGCGGGATGAAGAGTAGTTTGGATGGCGCTTGGGCAATGGTGTAATAGTAGGCTTAAATGTTACGCAAGATATCGTATATTCTTAAAAAATAATTACCTATATAAAAACTTTAAGCGTACGCATCAACACAATTACAGTATTTGAGTTATAAATAGAACGGATAAATCAAACCACTACGAAATATGACTGAAAGGTTATATTCTTTTTGTTACAGGATTCTTTACATCACTGGAGTGCTAATAAAATGAATATCATTATAATATATTTACTTGTATGTGTAGTTATAGCAGGTAAGATCCGATGTCTCACAAGATTATGAAAATTAAAATAATGTTTCTATATAATATTTAATTACTTGGTTTTTAGGGAAAGGAGATGACATGAACAACCGAAAGAGCGAGAAAATGGAACATGGTAGTGAATTATTCGATGAAAGAGTAGGTTAGTATTTTATGTTAACATTAATTGTAAAATGTTTATTTTTTTTTAAATTCAAAATTAAAATTAAACGTTATTATACATTTTCAGCACTGCAAAGAGATGCAAAAGCATTAGAATATTATTTTAACTCGGCCCCTCAGGAATATCATCATAATCATGTACGTCCTAAATTAATGAAGTTTACAAAAGATTTTCGAGAAGTATTAACCAATACTCGACCGGAACCCCATGAGTCATCTTCAAAGAATAATTATATTGACTATAGTGATTCAAAGAACGTGTCAGAAAAATCTAATTCACTTGATTTCCTTAAATTTCCATATACAAGCACTTCAAAATACAAGAAAGTTACAGATGCAACTTTGAAATGGCCCTCGTTTGAAGATTTATTGTTGTCAATTGGGATTGAATATGACTGGAAAAGTGATCGGTGGGTAAAAATGAAACAAAAACTTACAAGAACTCCGGAGGAAAAAATTAAAATTTCTAATTTTAATCAAAACGTCGGTCAGAAACATGAATTTAAATACAGAACTGTAAGAATTAACGGAAGCAAAAGTAGGAAAAATATTATAATTGCCGTAACAGCAGTAAGATAGGAATATAATATTTTTAAACATAAATTTAGTTAATGTTATGTAAAAATGATAAGCATACTTAAATTTGTATAACTTGTAGTAAATGCAAAATTTGTAAATAAACAAAAACATTAACAAGTTTTGGGACCAAATTTAATTAAAAACAGTCCAAGATGTTTTTTTGGTTTTTATTAAAATTATAACTAATAATAGCGATTGAAGTATGATAAAAATCTGTTTCACTATATTTTGTGAACTGGAATTGGTAAAGAGAAAAGTAAGGTTTTTCCGATATTTTTAAGATGACGCTAATTTTACAAATATCCACAAAAATATTTACAACTAATGACATCACTATTTTCTTATTTTAAACTTATAGAAAATTATTTTCCACTTTTTAGTTCGGTTATCTAAAAAAACGTGTGATTTTAGTTTTTTAAGCTATTATTTATTATCTATTTTTAGTGCCGCTACAAAAGCGTGTTTATAAATTGAACGTGAAGTGTAAATTGAACTGGTAGAAAATCGTAGTTGTTATATGAATTATTCGCAAATGCTGGGAATCATAGCAAGGATAATTTGACAAAATATTTCAATTATTGCATTGTCATCGGTCCTTGATAAGTGCGCGAAGTTACAAATAAATCCGACGTTTTGAAGGGGATGAAAATCACATTAAAATCTCCAAGTTACATAAATACATATACAGCTAATAAAAGCATGTTAATGATAAAATTCATCAGATAATATGTTATTACGACTCATTATAAATGTTAGCATATTATTTACGTTAGGTACTGTAAATACAGTCAGGTCTGACAACTTTACTAATGGATGTTAACTTTTCCATCACAGGTTTACTGGTACATAATTACAACTAACACGGAAAACGTAACGTTTTTCGAGATATACAAAATACAAATTCGAAAATACAATAACTAATTGACAGCATTGCTTTCGATATGGCAACATGAGAGTTAATTTTGGAATTATATTTTAACGCGGAATTGTGCCGGCCAAATAAACTTTTTGTTCAGTACTCCAGAACTTTAGTTTTTTTGTTGTTTGTAATACTGAATGTAGGTATCCATAAATTTGCAGTAACGTAACATTAATGGTTATCAAATGTAATATATCGTTTTTAACATGTTGGTCTTAACATTTATTTATAAAACTAACTTGGAAATGTTACCATACTAGTGATGCCATGATGTGACGGTTACTTTGGCATGTTTTGTTACAACCGTGGGTTGTCACTTTCAACCTATATTTTAACCGATTAAAACTATTTAAACAAAGTGTTCTGCACTTGACATTCTATGTTTATATGTATGTTTGTATTGATGTTTCACCGTAGCTGCACATTAGACCGATTTTACCAAATGAGTTATCAATCAATTCATCCTTATCATAAGTGAAGGAAAAGAAAAAGAAATCTATATTATTTTTATTGCGTTGTTAGGCATTATTGGTTTTGTTATTGCGGTAAAACAATATTTAGATTGATTACAATAATTATGAACTTAATCCGTGGTAGCCCAGATGCTTAGCGCTCGCTGTAAATTTTACAGTACGCGAGCAACCCGGGTTAGATTACCGCCAGCACCAATGAAATGTTAATTGCAATTTTAATGCTGATTTACCACGTACTCGGCGGTAAAGGAAAACATCGTGAGGAAACCGGCATGTCTGAGAAATAAGAAAAAAAATTCGAAGACATGTGAAGTTCGCCGACACGCATTAGGGCAGCGCGGCGGACATTTACTTGCCTTAAAACCCTTTCAGAAATGAGAGGAGTTCAGTGCCCAGCAGTGGGACGTATACAGGCTGTAACTTTAACTTTAAATTTTTAATTATGACCTGACATCATTTTATTAAGACTCGTAATAAAATTACGATGATGACTAATACAAAAACAAATACTCGTTAAAAATTATTGTGACAAGCTTTTTATCTATACTACAATATTGCACAAATTTGATTTTTAATTTTAAACGAAAGTATTTTTGTTTAATATATTTTAGATTTTTGCTTAAGAAATTATTGTAACAAGATTAAAAAAAAATTAAGTTAAGTATGTAATCAAGGATTTTTGACAACCCTGACACATATTTTCAAGTTTATATGAAATATTGCAAAATGGGAGGGCAACTTTGCCACAAGGGTAAATTTTACTATTTGCAACAGAATTTAAGGAGCATATCATACCTCTGAGTGTTGTGTATTATATTATGAGGTAAACTTCCCTTCATTATTTAAGTCAAACTCTATTACTTTCTTTATAAACCCTGATGGCAAAGCTGCCACAAAGTGAAGTTAACTTTGCCATTTTCTATTTTTGAGTATTTTGTCTATTTAATGTTAGTATTTGTTTAAATCACTAATAAATACCAAATGTAAAAGAATATAATGTCACATTAACAATCACCGTCTGAAAGTACATTTTTCTTGGAAAATTGGTCCCAAACTTTTAAGTCATTCCAAAAATGGCAATGTTGCCAGGTTTCACGGTACATGTAATGACATTGGCCAAATTACAATCTTTTTATTTTGAAAGTCATTGGGTGTGTTAGGTAATTTTTCGCTTAGCGTTGTTCGCGCATAGATCGCGTCTGGAAAATAAAAAAATAATAATACTGACAGACAAAACATTCCACTTTAACAGACCTGATATAACTATAAATAGTAACCAACATAAAAAAGAACAGCAATAATGTTGTATTTTAATATACTTTTAACTATTGATAATAATTACAACTTACAAAAGATATAGATCTCAAAGATGAAATAAAACGTATGTCGAATCTCAAAACAAGGGTAAACCTATAATGAAGAGGGAATACCTTATATCCTTGCACCACTGAATCAAATAATTTGATCTAGTATGCAGACGACAACACATTCGTGGAGAGGTATATTACATTTATATAGAGTCGAATACTCAGGCCCGTCGGGACCAAATCCAGTACAAAAGACAAGCTATGGTTGGGCGTGCGAATCTCTAACTGCATTCAGTCTTTGAGTAGAGCGATGCCAATCTTGTGAGGTTTACACAAGCATGTCTCTTTACCACTAACAGGAGCGCGCTTACTTTATCTCCTAATTTTCTGAATCTATCTTTGGAGTATACACTGATCGTCTCCACTTGTTAAGGGTTGTGATTTCTCTCAACTACGGGCTGTTCATTGAGTCCAGGGCCAAAGTATCCGCAAGGAAGCTAGGTGTCCTTGCAAGTGGACTACTATCATTTACTGAGAAGATGATAGTGATGGCAAACGAATACGGCAGCCAGTCCAGTTTCTCTTTTATTACTTTCTGATAAAAAGCGTGGCTGACTAGATTTTCAAAATGTTTTATGTTTTACCTTTATAATCTGTTTTGAAATAAAATAAACATAATATTCAAAGTTTAATTTAAAAATGAGGAAAAAGTTGGTACCGCAAGAAAAATCTGTTTGTAATATTGTGGCTGTGTATCGAGAGAGAGGGTAAGTTTATTAATGGAAGTTCGAAGCCGAGAAAACGTATCCATTTTTTACATCGCACATTAATCAATGTACACAGGTTATAAAATATTTGGTTCATACAGATTGGCTACAAATACATGTAAATACATATTGTAAATATTGTTTTAAGAATGAGTACATATTATGTGATTTATGTTTCATATTAATATTTTTTCCCTCTGCCGTCTCTTACGACACTGAAGGTATGATATGGGATAATGAATTCTTTTACGCCACCACGACTTGATGAAATGAGGCAAATGAAACAGAAGATATAATTATACGTGGTAGAGCCAAGCTGCAGCTATATTTATAATATAGTTGTAGTGCGAATGGGTCGGCTCGACCGGGGAAGGACCACGCTCTCACAGAATACCAGTGTAAAATAGCAGCTTAATGCTGCTGTGTTTCGTATGGTGAGTGTAGAGAACCGGAGGCCCTTTTTACTGGAAAAGAGGCGTTACATCTTAGTCCTCAAGGCTGACAACGCATCTGCATTTTAATTCGCAAACGAGTATGGATGTGGATGTCTATAGGCCACAGCAACCACTTACCATCACGTGGACTGTGTGCTCGTTTGTCTCCCTATTTCTATAAAAAAAGGAGATGGGTAGCAGCATATCTTCTCGATAATAATTGAAACTAATAAAACACTGTGGTAGCTAACCCGCCTGCTAAACATTAAAACCTTTATTTAGAAGGCGATATCTAAGAAACTTTTATAAAAAAAGAACAATAAATAAATATTTTATGAGATTTTTCTCTTAAAATTTCAATAATTTTCTCTTCGCGCGCTGCTGGATATTGCAGTGCCAGGCGATACCTGTTTAACATTGTTTTTTGACACCGCTGAGTATTTATTTTAAGCCTTACGCAAAGCTTAAAATAAATACGCATTGAATGGTCCAACCACCCTCCACAGGAAGCTATGAGATTTTTTTATAGAATGAGGATGACGAACGAGCACAAAGTCAACCTGATGGGGTGGGATGAGGGTGATGGATCCACTTACGCTAATAAACCTGCCAATTAGGAAAATGACATATAATACTCTTACGGCGATAAAGAAAAATGAGACACACACGTAGAAAATACTTCAAATTCAAAATTAAAACTGAAAAACAGCTGATGACCATGAAACAACTGAACCGATTTTGATAAAACAAAGCTAGAAACTACCTCTAGGTACCTGCTTTTAAATTAAAAAAAAACCGCACTGAAATTAGTTCACCCATTGAAAAGCTACAGTGCCACAGGCAGATACACAAAGCGGCCAAACTTATAACACCCACTTTTTGCTTCGGATGTTAATAAAAATGACATTGAAATAGACATGTAATATTTTATTTTACAACATGCAACATTTTGTTCTGTAATTAAAGCTCAGAATCATTTATGTATGTTTAGGTATTATTAAGGTATGTAATTACTCTAAAAGTTAAAGCTTTGATTGACATTTCAAAATCACAATCACCCCTATAACTATTATGAAGTTGCAAACCGGTGAATGTGAAATAAAAATAATAATACACAAAAAGAATGACTACAACAAAATATAATAAAAAAATTCTAAAAGTAGTAATTTGAAATTCATTTGAAATTTCAAAGCCGACCTTTTAGGCTCCCTTTTTGCGTCCAACGCGACTGTTGATGACGGGGGGAACACACCGCCGACCATCCCGCGGTGTGAGTGCTCCAGGCCGGATGTGCGGTTCTCACAGCGCTCGGTTCGCAGAGCAGTCCTCTCCCTGGACATCCACAAGTCGAGTGGGCCTGACGGAATCCCTGATCTCTGCTGAAGACGTAGGCTCCGGAGTTGGCACCGGTTCTAACGCGTCTATTCCGGTACTCCTATTCCCTAGGCGTAGTCCCGAAATCATGGAAGACAGCTTTTGTCCACCCGATCCCTAAAAAAGGCGACCGCTCAGACTCGTCCCACTACAGGCCTATCGCCATCACCCCCTGGTTCTCCAAAATAATGGAATCCGTTATAAACTACCACCTCATGTGGTGCCTTGAGGATCACCAGCTAATTAGTGACCGCCAATACGGTTTTCGTCGAGGTCGATCAGCTGGTGATCTTCTGGTCTACTTAACTCATAGATGGGCGGAGGCAGTAGAGTCCAAAGGGTAGGCCGTTAGTTTGGACATTACGAAGGCCTTCGATCTGGTTTGGCACAAAGCGCTTCTTTCGGGTTTGGCACAAAGCGCTTCTTTCGAAGCTCCCTCCCTATAGGCTTCCCGAGAAATTATGCCATTGGATTACCAGCTTTCTTGCAGATCGGAGCATCAAGGTCGTTGTAGACGGTGCATGCTCCGACTACAAGCCTATTAACGCTGGTGTTCCACAAGGCTGCGTGCTATCATACCATCGCTGTTTCTTCTGCATATCAATGATATGTTGCAAACCGGTAGCATTCATTGCTGTGCGGATGACAGCACTGATTATGCTCTATACACCGGCCATGCCAATATTTATCGGGAAAACGTCGCCGAGTACCGGAACAAACTTGTATCTGAAGTCGAGTCTTTGCTGGACAAAGTCTCAGATTGGGGGCGACTAAATCTAGTCCAGTTTAATCCTCAGAAGACACAAGTTTGCGCGTTTACCGCTAAAAAGAACCCCTTTGTCGTATCTCCTAAGTTTCAAGGTACTCCCCTTGTTGCCTCAGCCAGTATCGGATTCCTCGGCGTCGACATATCGAGTGACGTGCAGTTTCGTGGTCACTTGGAAGAGAAGGCCAAATTGGCCTCTCAAAAGCTTGGCGTGCTCAGCAGAGCGGGACAGTATTTCATGCCGGCACAACGCCTGCAACTTTACAAGGCGCAGGTTCGGCCTCACATGGAATACTATTCCCATCTCTGGGCAGGAGCTCCCCAGTGCCAGCTCCTTCCACTTGACCACATCCAGCGCAGGGCGGCTCGAATCGTCGACGACCGAGTCCATTTTCTTTCGCATTTACCACGGGGAGTGCTCTGAGGAATTGTTCGGATTAATCCCAGCCGCCAAATTTCACGAACGCACATCGCGGAAGAACTCCCGATACCATCCACACTATCTGGATGATTGGCGGTCCACCACTGTGCGATTTAGAAAATGTTTTCTTCCTCGCACAACTTCCTTGTGGAATAGTTTACTACCAGCGATTTTTCCGGACCGATATGACTTAGGGACCTTCAAAAAAAGAGCCTACTTTTTAAAAGGCCGGGAACGCATCTGCAATACCCCTGGTGTTGCGGTTGTTCATGGGCGGCGGTAGTCACTTACCATCAGGTGAGTCGCAAGCTCGTTATAATTATCAAACAGTCCTACTCGCCGTGGTATCGTGCCATGAACGCTGGCTGCGTTTCCCCGCTGAATGGCTATACTTGGCCTTTGAGTGAGAAAAAAACCAGCTCTCTTATCACCAGCAATCTAAATATATATATATATATATAAAATTGGCATTATGCGCACCGTCTACACAAAATGCTCAGTAATGCTAATTGATCACTAAAAATTCAAATAATTTCAATTAAATCGACATTTTTGCAAATTATCATTAAATAGATTTACTGCTTATTTTAATATATTTCCTTTTAATACTTAGCATTATTGTGAAATGTAATAATTTGATTATCACATTCCACTGTAAAAATTTCAATAGCTACATAAAAGGGAAATAAAGCTCTGATTAGTCGTTCTTGATCATTTAATAGGCTACATAATATAACATATCATAAAGGGCTACAATAGGCCAACACATGCTCACTCACTCGGACGACTCATACACGATACTTAAGAGTGCAATTCAGATATATTGCCAGAGACACGGCCATAAAGATCCGTACCAATTTGTTTTTAAATATAGACATACCTAGTCTCTACTTCTGCTAATGATACATTTCTGATACACAGAAATTACCTGCAGCGCTTGGAACAATTTGAAAAAGCAATTTCAGCATATAATGAGGCTCTTCGTTGGAATGTGCGTAAATATTACGTCTGTTTTATTTACCATATATCTTGTGATTCCTACAGCGTAATGAATAGCATTTGTTACCAATAACATTATTTTAATATAGTAACCAAGCTTCACATTTTCATCATCCTTAGTCCTTGCGTGTACTGTTAGACCTTGAATGTTACAGCCGGTAAGAATATTTTTGAAAATTTGTTCTTACACGAGCTGCTAAGTGGTTTCTTGAGTACATAGGCATTGGCCTCGCACCCATAATAATAATAATAATAATAATAATAATAATAATATATATAATATATATATATATATAATATATATATATATATATATATATATATATATATATATATATATATATATATATATATATATATATATATATATATAATATATATATAATATATATATATAAATAATAATATATATATATATATATATATATATAATCGCGAAGTGTGCAGCCTCCGTAATTACTTTCTGACGAGAGCGGATGATCCATACTATTGGGACGTTATTTCTTGTGATAAAGGACTGACCCCTCTATCCTTAGCCAACGAGCAATGGCAAGACCCAGCAGTACAGTGCATTTCCGACCGGGAGGCCGTATGGAAGGAGAAGGAGCTCCACGGGAGGTTCTACAAGGCTCTACATGAGCCTTTCGTAGACACAGTCGCCTCCCTTCACTGGCTACGTTTCGGTGACCTCTTTGGGGAAACCGAGGGTTTTGTCTGTGCAATACAGGATCAGGTTATTAAGACCAACAATTATCGGAGATACATCCTAAAGGATGGCGCCGTCGACATCTGTCGAGCTTGTCGCCATCCCGGTGAGTCACTTAGGCATGTCATCTCCGGTTGTTCGGCGCTTTCTAACTCTGAGTATTTGCACAGACACAATCTAGTAGCAAGGATTCTACACCAGGAGCTCGCTCTGAAATACGGCCTAGTGGATCGGAAACTGCCGTATTATAAGTACTTGCCGGAAGCCGTGCTCGAAAATGACCGCGCCAGGCTCTAATGGGACCGGGCCATCATCACAGACAGGACTATTCTTGCGAATAAGCCTGATATTGTGCTGATGGACCGGGCACAGTCAAGGATCTTTTTGGTCGACATTACCATTCCTTATGACGAGAACCTCGTGAAAGCCGAAACAGATAAGGTGACAAAATATCTGGACCTGGCTCACGAGGTTACCGGCATGTGGGGTGGTCTGCCGGCCGAAATTATTCCTGTGGTCGTTTCTGCGAACGGGTTAATCCCAGTCAGCCTCCCGGGTCATCTGAGGCGACTGGGACTCCGTGACGGACCGCTCCAGGCTCAAATGCAGAAGGCGGTGCTCCTCGATACCGCCCGCATCGTCCGCCGGTTTCTTTCCCTTTCCCCCTAACCCTCGGCCGTCTGGTCTCCCCTGCCGAGGGCTTCCATCTGGTTGGGTTTTTATATATTTATGTATTTTTTATGTATTTATTTTATTTTATTCATATTTATGTATGTTTACCATTTTCATTTACAATTATATATTTATACTGCCCAACCAGATGAGAAAACTTTATAGATACCCCAAAATAATAATTCAATTATATATTTATACAGCCCAACCAGATGAGAAAACTATACAAATACCCCATAATAATAATATATATTAATATATATAATAGGCGTAGGGAAGTGACGACCCCATCGCCCGCTGACGTAATGGTTATGTGACAAAACTGCTACGTCAGCGCAGTCAGTCAGCATCTTGCCAAGAGGTGTGAGCGCCGTGCCTCGGCAGAATTGAGGGTGCTAATTTGGGCCCGCTTGTGCTTTCGGCCAAATCATGAAATGGTGCCGGGCCTGGGCGTCTCCCGTTAATTGACGCCCAATTTATGGATGATGGAAGGAAATAGACTGCGTTTAGGGCCGCTGCCTGGGGGTCGCCGGGGCGCGTCTGGAGCTAACGCTGGACGCGACAGCATGCGGGCCGCCAGCCGAGTGCGAGGTGCTGCACGACCACCTAGCAGCCCCTCGCATCCATCATCCCCACCAGCTGGCTTGGTGTTGGCAGGGTCTTCGCGGGCACAGCAATCAGCACCCGCCACTGGTGGAGTACGCTGCATGCGTTGGTCAATGCAGATGAATAGCAACGCATTGCGGGCGTATTTTAGGGCGAAAGGGGGAGAAATTGGAGGTTTTACGTATCGGGCTAGGATGCATCGACTTTTAGCGAGCTGGAGCCATCTATAACCGTCACCGAGCAAAACCTGGCAGACCGAGTTCGGTATATCTTGCGCTCAAACATATTAGATAGCACCGAACTCGAACGGCTACGACGTGAGGCTGTGCCCTCATCGGATGACAATGCTACGGCTGAGGATGCGGCGCCACAAAATGCAGAGCAACCAGCACACGTGGATGCCGCCGTGAATCTTTCAGTTATGGTTGGTTCAGACGATGATGGAACAGTCGCCCAGGAACTAGAACTAGAGCAAATGAGGAGTACATTGGAAGAGGCTATTTTGGAAACGCGCAGTATGCCTCTCGAAAATCGACCGCGACTCCCGCGCATGCCCCTAAGCAAGCGGAATCGGGCTGTCGTGAGGGCTCTCAACCCAATGCTGGTGACCTATTTGGAAGCCAGCCGGGACCTTTGCGAGACGGACTCAATTCTTTTTGGCGCCGCACTGGCAGTTTGCCGCATTATTGGCGCCAAAGTTCCCACGGCTGGACGCGCTACTAGACAAAGTAGCGCCATCCCAGCCTGGAGAAGAAGGATTGAGGATCGTATCGCAAAGGAAAGGGCCCTTATCGGCAGACTGATAAGCTTCAGGTCAGGCAATAATAGGCCGAGAATTGTGCGCACCGTCAGGATGGCGTTTGCTGGGACAAATATCAGTTTGTCCCAGCCGGATATAACGCAAAAACTGACGGAGCGCATAGACGACCTGAAGCAGAGAATCGCTGCTTGGGGGAAGCGGATTCGGCGATATACCGAGAGGTCGACACGGTTCAACCAGAATCGTCTCTTCCAGAGTGATCAGAAGAGGTTCTATGAATCACTGGAGCGACCAATGGTACGTGGAACGGGCCCAGCACCGAATCAGGCCGACTCTATCGCATTCTGGCGCGGCCTGTGGTCAGAGCCCGTAAACCACAGCGAGGGCCCTTGGACGGAAGTCGTGGCGAGTCAGTGTGCGAATATTACGCCCATGGACCCCGTCCTCATAACGCCGGATGACGTAGCTGAGGCGGTCCGTAGGGCCCCGAATTGGAAAAGTCCGGGACTCGACGGACTGCATCACTACTGGCTGAAGGGGTTCATGGTGTGTCACGCTGTGCTCGCCCGACAGTTTCAAGAGGCTCTCGACCAAAAGTCGCTCCCGAGCCTCTTCACTACTGGGATCACTCATTTGGTTCCTAAGGACCGGGATTCCACAGACCCGAGCAAATACCGCCCCTAAACGTGTCTACCTACCATATACAAGACACTAACATCCATTTTGAGCGCGAGAATCATTCGTCACCTGAACTCAAACCAGGTGATGTCGCGCGCTCAAAATGGATGTCGGAGCGGTGGTCGTGGAACCAAGGAACCACTCCTCATTGACGCGGTCATTGGCAAGGTGGTTAAACGCAACCGTCGGAACCTCTCCGCCGCCTGGATAGACTACAAAAAGGCATTCGACTCGGTGCCTCATACATGGCTTAAGAGGGTCCTCGAGCTGTACAATGTTGACTGTACAGTTCGAGACTTCCTCGGGCAGTGTATGGGGCAATGGAGTACGATCCTTTGTCATCTAGGCGAGCGGATGACGGCTGCGGAGAACCACATAAGGATAAGAAGGGGTATCTTCCAGGGCGATTGTTTGAGTCCAACCTGGTTCTGCCTCTCTCTGAACCCTCTCAGTACCTTACTGGAGGGCTCCGGGAGGGGATTTCAACTTCGGAGAGGAGGTACAAAAGTGACCCACCTTTTCTATATGGATGATCTCAAATTATTCGCCTCCAGTCGCTCTCATCTTATGGAATTGCTAAACATCACTTGTGATTTTAGCAATTCTATTAGAATGGAGCTGGGGACGGATAAGTGTGCGATCCTCCATGTCGAAGGGGGAAGGGTTGCTAACTCTGAGGGCATAGACTTATCTATGCCCATCAGCGTAAGGACCCTTTCCGAGGCTGAAACATACCGATACCTGGGTATGTCACAGAACATCGGTGTAGATGAGTCGGGTATGAAACGGTCAGTTTGCGATGTGTTTTATGCATGCGTGACCAAAGTGCTTAATAGCCTTTTGTCCGGTGTGAATAAGACGCACGTATATAACGGTTGGATCATGCCTGTTCTCATGTATACCTTTGGCATACTCAGGTGGACTCAGACCGAACTGAACGCTCTGGACAGAAAAGTCCGCACTATAATGACGTCCCACAGGATGCATCATCCGAGATCGTCAGTAATGAGGCTGTACTTGCCGCGAAAGCATGGTGGGCGCGGCTTTTTAAGCGCGCTTATCATGCATAATCGCGAAGTGTGCAACCTCCGTAATTACTTTCTGACGAGAGCGGATGATCCATACTATAGGGACGTTATTTCTTGTGATAAAGGGCTAACCCCTCTATCCTTAGCCAACGAGCAATGGCAAGACCCGGCAGTACAGAGCATTTTCGACCGGGAGACCGTATGGAAGGAGAAGGAGCTCCACGGGAGGTTCTACAAGGCCCTTCATGAGCCTTTCGTAGACACAGTCGCCTCCCTCCACTGGCTACGTTTCAGTGACCTCTTTGGGGAAACTGAGGGTTTTGTCTGTGCAATACTGTGCAATAACCTCAACGTCGCACTAACTCCTCAACGTCGCACTAACTACGGTTTGAATACTGTCATGGTTAGGTTACCCCGAACATATAATACAAAGTTTAGCCAGGTTGACTTATTTCGCTCAAGCAAGTTAACTTTCAAAAAGAAGGTGACAGACATCATCATAAACTCTCACAAATTTTAAGTGATATAAACAAAAGTTGTACTTTAACCTTTACTTTTCTTCTTCGTCTTTGCCCTCATCATTATCTCTGTCTACGTCTATAATGTGTGGTACTTATATATTACTTTCACAAACATGTATATTGTATTTCTTTACCAGATTTGTTTTGTGTGGTGTACAGTTTAGCTTAGTATCTACTTAACTATCTATAATATTGATAGGTTTAAGCGGATGGCATCCTTGAATTCCTTAGTATATTTATAGAGTTAATTTTAGCACTAACAAAGTTTGATTGTTACAGTGCCATTTGTTAATTTAAGGGAAACCTGTTATTGGCAATACTGGTTACACATAGTTATAAGATATACAATTTGTAAGGCTGTTGGTTTTCTTAATAAAATAAAAAAAAAAAAAATACAGGATCAGGTTATTAAGACCAACAATTATCGGAGATACATCCTAAAGGATGGCACCGTCGACATCTGTCGAGCTTGTCGCCATCCCGGTGAGTCACTTAGGCATGTCATCTCCGGTTGTTCGGCGCTTTCTAACTCTGAGTATTTGCACAGACACAACCTAGTAGCCAGGATTCTACACCAGGAGCTCGCTCTGAAATACGGTCTCGTGGATCGGAAACTGCCATATTATAAGTACTTGCCGGAAGCCGTGCTCGAAAATGACCGCGCCAGGCTCTACTGGGACCGGGCCATCATCACAGACAGGACTATTCTTGCGAATAAGCCTGATATTGTGCTGATGGACCGGGCACAGTCAAGGATATTTTTGGTCGACATTACTATTCCCTATGACGAGAACCTCGTGAAAGCCGAAACAGATAAGCTGACAAAATATCTGGACCTGGCTCACGAGGTGACCGACATGTGGGGTGGTCTGCCGGCCGAAATTATTCCTGTGGTCGTTTCTACGAACGGGTTAATCCCAGTTAGCCTCTCGGGTCATCTGAGGCGACTGGGACTCCGTGACGGACCGCTCCAAGCTCAAATGCAGAAGGCGGTGCTCCTCGATACCGCCCGCATCGTCCGCCGGTTTCTTTCCCTTTCCCCCTAACCCTCAGCCGTTTGGTCTCCCCTGCCGAGGGCTTCCATCTGGTTGGGTTTTTTTATATATTTATGTATTTTTTATGTATTTATACTATTTTATTGATATTTATGTATGTTTATATAGTTCGTTTATAATTATATATTTAAACAGCCCAACCAGATGAGAAAACTTTATAGATAACCCCAATAATAATAATAATATTCCGCAACTATCAAACAACGCCATCTAGTCCCAAGCTAAGCAGAGCTTGTGTTATGCTTGGTTATATACTAGACAACTGATAAACATACTTATATATTTCTAAATACATAAATATAGATAAATTACACCCAGACACAGAAGAAATGATCGTGCTCATCACACAAACATTTGTCCTGGGTGGGAATCGAACCCACGACCTCCGGCGTAGCAGTCAGGGTCACTAACTACTAGACCAACAGGCCAGTCATGGTAGATTGATAATGGAGATCATGTTGAATGAAAGTTGAAATTGTTGATCACTATCATCACTTTGTTAATGAAAACGAGTTCATAATTACTTTATATTTGGCCATGTAGTGGCGTCGTAAGAGAATCTACTTCCTCAAATCATGCCGTGGGTGTCGAAAGAGGTGACAGAGGGAAAATAGAAGAAGAAGAGATTGATAACATTATTATATTATTACATTATGTGGTTGCCCGGCGTGGAAACTATGAAGAAATCAACGCGACTACCCCCATTAGGCAACCCTTGGGGAGACCTATGTTTTGAAGTGGAATTTTAATAGGTTATAATGAGTGAATGAAAGCTGAATTAACATATATCAAAACAATATCTCGAAAGTCCTGTTATTATTTACTACATTTTTGTCGGCTGGAAACACAAAAGCAAAGTGTTAGGCTGCGGAGAAGCGAGGTTTATTTTTTTTATTTTTTTAGAATAAAGGTGACAAGCGAGCTCACAGTCCACCCGATGGTAAGTGGTTGCTGTGGCCAATATACATCTACATCTATCCTCAATTGCGAATCAAGATGCAGATGCATTTTTACCCGTGAAGACTAAGATGGAATGCCTCGTTTCCAGTAAAAAAGGTCTCCGGTTTTCTACACTCACCATACGAAACACAGCAGCATTAAGTTGCTATTTTACGCTGGTATTCTGTGAGAGCGTGGTCTTTCCCCAGTTAAGCTGACCCATTCGTGCTCAAGATACCTATCTTGTGTGGGTGTGGTGCTTTCCTAGTCAAGCCGATTGTGGCCTTATTACGTTGCAGCGTGATTCTAACACGTACAAAATGTACTGATAAACATGGGTGAGGTCACAACCAATCACATGCACCGGCATATTACATGACTCACCTGGATAAATAATAATAACAATAAAATAATAAACACGTAAAAAGCATTTCCGAGACCGTATGGAAGGAGATATACGCTCCACGATAGGTTCAATACCACCCTTTTATAGACACATTTGCCTCACCTCACTGGCTATGTTTCAGTGACTTATTTGGGAAAACCGAGGGTTTTGTCTATACGATATAGGTTTGGGTTATTACGACCAACAGCTATTGGAAATACATCGTTACTGCAAACGGACTAATCCCGGTAAGTATTTCGGATCATCTAAGCTGACTCTCACTAACGCTCCAACATTTCTCAACTCTTGGCCGTTTGGTCTCCCCTGCCGAAGGCTATCATTCGGTTGGGCTTTATCTATTAAATTAACTATATTTTATTGCATATTCTATTAAATAAATATATTATTTTATCTTATTTATGTTTAAAGTACATCTTTATGTATATTTATAACTTTTGATGTATTCCAATTAGATGGAAATGCAATAAAAATAAAAATAACCATTATATTAAATGCTTTATACACATTATAAAATAATTGTTATGTGTGTTATTATCATGTCTACTTAAAATGAAACAATTCACAGAGTTCTGACGTCCGTTCGTTGCTCGGTCGAAGCTTAGCCAGAGCAAAAGCAACATATTACGACGGTGCTTTGGAAGACGTGGCTCGGGCTGCCGGTACAGTATTAAAAGTTTTTTTTTTTTTTATAATTGTTTACAGACATTGGGAATATAATAAATCTTCAGATTTTTATTAATACTATTGACATATATACGATATTATATTATCCTTTATTTAGATGTATTTTCATTACATTTTCATTACAGCCCTTCACAAGTCCACTGCTGAACATAGGCCTCCCCCAAGGAATGCCACAAAGCACGGTCCTGAGCCACCTGCATCCATCGACTTCCTGCATGTCTTACCAGGTCGTCACTCCATCTCGTGGGGGGACGCCCTACACTTCGCCTACCGGTACGAGGCTGCCACTCGAGAACCTTTCTTCCCCATCGGTTGTCGGTTCTTCGAGCTATATGGCCGGCCCACTGCCACTTCAGCTTACTAATCCGTTGGGCTATGTCGGTCACTTTGGTTCTACTGCGGATATCCTCATTCCTAAGTTTATCACGCAGAGAAACTCCGAGCATAGCCCTCTCCATAGCTCGCTGAGCGACCTTGAGCTTCCTCATACGGCCAGCAGTGAAGGACCACGTCTCAGTTCCGTAAGTCATCACTGGCAACACGCACTGGTTGTACAATTTCGTTTTAAGGTTTTGAGGTATGTCTGACGAGAAGATGTGTCGTAGCTTCCCGAACGCTGCCCAGCCGAGTTGAATCCGTCGATTGACCTCTCGGTCGAAGTTGTACTTACCTAGTCGGACTATTTGTCCCAGGTAAACATACTCGTCAACAACTTCGAGCTTAGTGCTCCCAACAACTACCGGCATAGGTGTGATGTGATGTAGATGTATTATATGAGCAATATTTATGTATTTGTTTGTTTGTAATCGCATAACTAACGATGAATGGAGGTTTACGGAGCCAATTGATGTAGCTAGGTTACATGTCTGAGAGAATTAATTTTCTCCGTGTTTTCACCAACAAATCAATAAACTTAATTTGCTGTCGCCATAATATGATTAGTATTTTGCCACAGACATCATCTTCTCAATAGGCTGTTCGCCAAAACGTAGGTTGGCGTAATATATACTACATAATAGAACAAGTTGAAGAATAGAATAGAATATTTTTTATTCAATATACATTACATGTGTAATTCTTATTGAAAGTCATTTTTTACTTTACCACTGGTTCGAAAAAAGCCCTCTGTCCTGGGAAGAACCAGCAAGAAATCCAGCGGGACTTTTTTTTTTAAAATAAATTTTACAATATAAATGATTACGAACTATTTACAAATTTTATTTTAGAAACTGCTTGGAATCGACCACCTCATTCCCAGGGGTTATTATCAACCATGTATTCATTTATACTATAATAACCCTTTTTATACAGTTTCAGCTTAATAAAACCTTTAAACTTGGTAATAGAGAGAACCTGTACACTTTCCGGGACCTTGTTGTAATACATTGCCCCAAGAATGAATTACTGACTCTGTGGAGTCGAGAAACTGGCATCACTAGCTTGTGTTTGTTCCTAGTGTTTACAGAATGTATTTCACTTTTTTTACTAAAACTATCTTTGTTTTTGTGAACATACATTAAATTTTCGTAAATATACTGAGAGGCCAAAGTTAATATATTAATTTCTTTAAATTTATCTCTAAGAGACTCTCTCGGTTTTAGATTGTAAATAGCTCTAATAGCCCTCTTCTGTAAAACAAAAATAGTTTCTGAATCAGCCGCATTTCCCCATAGCAAAATCCCATAAGACATTATGCTATGGAAATAACTAAAATAAACTAATCTAGCTGTCTCGACACTAGTGAGACCTCTAATCTTTTTTACAGCATAGGCTGCAGAACTTAGTCTGCTTGCTAATTTGCATATATGGGGCCCCACTGGAGCTTTGCATCAAGAATGATGCCAAGAAAAACAGTGGATACAACAGGGCTCAATTCCTCCCCATTTAAGAACACATTGGTATTCAGATTTTTAACATTCGTTGTTGTAAATTTAACACAATTAGTTTTATTTCCGTTCAAATGCAGATTATTAACGTTAAACCAATGCATTAGTTTTGATATAGCATTATTCACTTCATCACATTTAAATGATTGACGTTTAAGTTTAAAAATCAAGGAAGTATCATCAGCAAATAATACTATATCATGACTATCCCCTACAAGGTGAGGTAAGTCATTAATATACACCAGAAACAGGAATGGGCCGAGAATCGAGCCCTGAGGAACACCCATTAGTACAGGTGACCCGGAAGAACTTTTACCATTGATAATAACCTTCTGTTTTCTATTACTTAAATATGAAATAATAAGTTTAAGCGCTGTGTTCTTGACACCATAGTACTGTAGCTTCCTGATTAATGTCTCATGGTGAACACAGTCGACGGCCTTGGAAAGATCACAAAATATACCCAAAGCATCCTCTGAATTCTCCCATGCACAAAAAATATGTTTAATAAGCTCAACTCCAGCGTCAGTTGTCGAGCGACCCCTTGTAAAACCGAATTGATTTTTATGTAGCAATTTATTAATATTAAAGAAACTTAACATCTGATCTAAAATAATTTTTTCAAAAATTTTACTTAATGTTGGTAGTACAGAAATTGGTCTAAAATTGGCGGGGTCTAATGTACCACCAGATTTAAATATAGGTATGACTTTACTGTGTTTCATTAAATCAGGAAACACACCAGATTCGACGCTTATATTAAATATAGTGGCTAGATAAGGTGCTAATATATCTATTATAGATAAAATAACTTTAACGGAAATCCCCCATAAGTCTGCAGTTTTCTTAACATCAATAGTTTTAAAATATTTAACGATATCATTTGGCAGTACTCTATGGAATTTAAAAGTATTTGAACAAGCCTTTACATTTTGTTTGAGCAATGATTCGGCGACAGTAGGAGAAGAATTTAATGATTTTGTTGTCAAAAAAGGAACATCAGTAAAATGTTTCTCAAAAGCCATAGCAACTTCTTGATCAGATCGCGTTAAATTATTGTTAATATTCAATTGAAAATCCGAGTTGCGCGGTTTGACCTTGCCCGTTTCACTATTTATTATTCTCCAGGTCATTTTAATTTTGTCGGATGCAGTTTTATTTTTGTTGCTTAAATGTAAAGCTTTAGCAGTGGAGCACACTTTTTTAAATATTTTAGAATATGTTTTTACATAATCTCTAAATATAACACTACTATTATATGATCTTTCATCATAAAGCTCGTATAACCTTCGCCTACTTTTATAAATTCCTACTGTCACCCATTCATTAAATGATTTGCGACTGTTAAAAGAGAGAGTTTTAGAAGTAAATATTCTACTTAATTCACAACTTATAATTTCAAATAATGTAGCATACAAATAATTAGCACTATTTTTAAACGAAAGTGATGGAAGTCTTTTTATTATATTACTTCTAAACCTCTCCAAGCGATGTTCATTTATTGGTACAAACACAACTTTCTTATTTTTCTGTTTCTTGTGTATGTAAGGTAGTGATACTAACTGTCCACAGTGATCTGAATTTAATTTTGAATAATTGATTTAAGTAAGGGCTTAACATCTGTAAAAATGTTATCTATACAGGTCGCACTAGGCCCAGCAATACGTGTTGGTTCTAAGAATAAATTTACAAGATTATACGATTTAAACAATGAGCGAAACTTAATACTAATGGAAAAAGTTTCAAGGAGATTGATATTAAAGTCTCCACACATTACAACAGACTTGTTCTGTTTACTAAGCTTGAGTAAAACTTCTTCCACAATCCTTTCAAAATGGTCATAAGTAGCACATGGGGGTCTGTAGATACCTACAACAATGAGGTGCTCAAGCTCGACACAAGCCATTTCTACAGTTCGTTCAACAGAGAGGCTCACAATATCCTTACGTTCTTTATATAATAATGATTTATCTGCTAATATTAAGGAGCCACCACGTAAACTATTTTCTCTATTGAAGGAACTTACCACCTGGTGATTTTTGAAATTAAACATGAAATTATAATCTTTTAGCCAATGTTCAGTAATACAAAGGATGTGTATATTGTTACTATTTAAAAACAATTCAACTTCCAATTCTTTGCCCAACATGCCTTGTATATTTTGATGCACCAGGTGTAAACAATTTTTATTACTTATTTGTGGGCTGTATTCAAAATTAAATAAACTCTTATTATTGCTAGAGATTGCCTCTATTGTCACATTCACTAATTTAAATTAGTTGGAACTGATTCCAAATTAAATGTCAAATGATTATGCTCAATAAAAGCAGTCTTGGTAGCCAAAAACTTGGCTGAGTTAAAAAGTAAATAATAAGATAGCACATTTGCTATCAGTCTTAAATTATATTTGGATAGGTAATACCTAAAAGCTTTTACAAAAATTTACTTCGCAAATATCCGCGTTATAAAATAAAATGATGTGTCTTACCTAGTATGAAGGAGCACCTCCCGCCCTCCCTCAATTGCGTGCACTATCCCCGTCACCACTAATCCCAGCACCGCTACTTCCAACACCACTACACTAGGCAATACACACCACTGACGATAATGCGACACGTGTTTCGCCTCTACACGAGGCATCCTCAGGTGATATAGACTCTACGGTGGCTAACCGCTAAGTGGGCGGCGAGCCAAAACAAGTGCCTTTTATACAAACCGATGATGCAACCGCTCTCTACCTAAGGAGCGAGCGACTGCGTCATGCGATAAAACATGCGACCAATCACCGCTGGACTTACGCAGCCGTTTGTAAAATTTAAAAACAAACCGCCGCGCAACGCCCACATTATTAGAGAGCAGGCTTGAAGATATTTAAGAGAGGTGAGTTAGTAACATTTGTTTGTTCATTCAGCAATGCAACGGTATTATTATTACTTTTTAATATTTCTAACTGTTCCAGCACACACAGCCGCAGCCCTTTATTACACGTATGTAAAATTTTAAAGGAGTGGTCGTTGGCTAGATTGTGTCCAGTGTCCAAAAGATGTTTGGCAAAATGGGATTTATCGGGATTGCAATTCCTGTACGCG